AGATCGGTCGGCTATAGTAGGTGCTGCACGAATATAGGGTGCATGATCAGCTGTGGGGGGGGGCACCGGAAATCGGTGTCCAGATTAATTGCAGAAAGACGATGCCTCCTTTTCAGACGCACGCTGGTCTCCACCTACAGTTCTGCCGTTCTTCTCTTCTGTTCATTATTTCTGTCGGTTGAATTAGCGGATGCAGCCTATGCATGGCAAAAGACTCACCCTGAGAGTTACGTTCTTCATCTGTTGTTTGCTGGTGACCCCCCATATCTGTTTTCTCCTGAAAGGAGCTCCAACGTGCACCCTGTCTTCTCGTTGCTACCTTCGATGAAGCCAAAGTGCAAATCAACCTGATCGAAACCGAGGTTTTGCCCTCACGAGAAAGCTTACTGTGTGCTCTACAGTAAGTGGAGTGACAGTAAAGAAGTTTAACTCTTTGAAGTGGCATTAAAAAATAACTATAGGAAAGACTTAAGAAGACTTACTGGTCCTAGAGATGAGCATAGTATTTCAGAGCTAAATCGATATATGGTAAAGGAGTGGAGCCATATTTTCTGTCTTCAAGTCTTTATATGTACCTACCTTCACCTATAGTCATAACTGTTGAATATTGACTGAAACTACACAGTCCTGAATATAAGCGGATGATATGATGTTTCTTGCCAGGGCTACTTGAGTGACGAGGCTCGGACAGTTTTCGGAACGCGGCAGTTCAGTTTGTGAGCCATTCTATCTACAGATTGGCGGATTAGAATTGTGGTGGCTTGAACAAGTGATCAGGAAGCTATCGGAAAGTAAGAAGACAAATTCCAGGGGCAAATCTACGTGGAAGACGACAAAGTACAGACTGCTAGCCGATGGCCCGAAGTAACGACGGATTTGACACTGTCACAAGTTGGAATCCAGGTGATATTTGTATGATTGGCAGCAGACCGATACAATTATAAAAACGCCAGTGCAACTGTTTCGGTTACCCGAAAAAATAATGCGTATAGTAGCGAAGACCTGTCAAACTTTTACCCTATGAAGAGGTACTTTGTATCATGAAGTGCCCTCAGTGAACTTTCTGACACAACGATTAGATGGCTAACCTCTGAAATGATTAGATGAGGACATTTCACGTTATTTCATTTTTTACACGTCACTGATATCTGATAATTTCTTGTTCGGTAATCATGCGCACTAGCGACTGAAAGCAGAAGCCACTGTATACCACAGGAACTAGCTTTTGAGGCGGAATATTGAAGGGTGAACTAGGAACGATCTACGGGCTTATAAATCGGAACAAAGTCAAAGCTCACGTTTTTTCCAAGAGTCAAGGTCATCGAAAAGGTCGGTTGGATACTCGAATTTTAAATTACGTATGCTTGTTTCCCCATAAATTAATGAGCAAATATATCGAAAAAAGAAATTCCGCTCCTTCTGAATTCACGTTGAAGTTGGTACAAAGTGAAGTTAATAGTCAACTGAACTTGAAGATCTCTTCCGCGTTACTCTTACCGTATCATTTATATTGAATTTTTAATTTAATAATGTAAGGAAACGGGTCGTAAACTAAATTTTGGCATCATTGAAAGAGCTGAATTAAGAACCGGACACTGGATCGAGTAAAACTTGTGCCTTGCATCAAGGATCCCTCAGAATCTGTTGAATCAAAGGACTGTACCGTATCAGTTCAAGGAAGAAACGCGTATAGAGATAATTTCTAATTGAAGGATTTATTGCTGTGATCGATTTTTGCCATTAAAGGATTATTAGCGGCTAATATATCATCATGTTTCTTGAACGAATAACGTTTGCAGATATTTTTTACTTGAAGCAGTTTGGCCGACGCTTCGTCAATAAGAACTTGTTTATCAGATGCTGATTCACCTCCTGAAACGGTAGTCACCTGTCACAGTAGCTGGCCAAACTAATTTAAATAAAAATCTAATCACCAGTGTCTTTAGGGGATCATCGTTTCAATTAAAACGATATTTTTCAGTCACAAAACTATTCGACAGTCAATGAATACGATGCGAACATATTAAATCGTGAATGTAATGAATCGGTAATCAGTATGTTGATATGGCTGATTTAATAAGAGTCAAGTAGGCCATTAATGTTAGACCAGCACAAACTGCGGGAAAAGCAGATTTTGGTGCTGTTACTGTCCGAATATCAAAGATGGCAGGTACCGAAATATTGTATGCAGCAATCACAGTCTTTCCGAAGTGTGTGTGTGTGGGGGGGGGGAGTTCTAATCGACTTCAGCGAACTTTACGAACAGTAACCATATAAAACTGCAACAGCCACCAAACGGGCCTGTTTGTGACGAGGCCCTCATATGAAATTAACGACGCACCATTGTGGAGGTAGTTGTATTGTCGTACAATATACACTGTCTGTATGTCCATCACAAACCTTAATCGCTTTATAGCGGTATGGACGGAAAATAACTCGCAGTTCCGTTCTTTCCTGCAAATGTGGTTCAACTCAGACCGGTGATTTAGGCTTTTATCTTATAATTAAACCTTCCCTATATCTATATAAGGAAAGTTTGTAACCGTAGGAATGTCGCTCTTCCTTAAACTTAAATGCTGGGCGCCCTTTTTTTCATGAAGTTATGGGATCTCGCTGATCTACATTTTCATACCATGAAGCAGAAGCGCCTTATGTTTTAAAGACAGAATCGACATCAACGATGTGGCAAGCAAGGTGTGAAATCTCTTGTTTTCTTCCCACGCAGTGATACTCATTTATCAACCTCAAAAGAAAGAAAGTCGAGTGATCCCAACCAGGGTTGCAAATCTGGTCTTCTGAGTTTTGAGTACAACGCTCCACCAACTGAGCAACTCCGATATATGTTTAAGCCTCTGCAGTGATTTCTGCTGATTTAGGTTTACGCCGTAAATTAGGCGTAGGTTAAGGCTTAAAAGGTGACGCGTTTGTGTATGTACGGAATACCGCTCCAGACGGTAACATACAACGCCAGCTGTTCTCTACCAAATACCAAACTGCATCCCCTTTGGAAGTGTACAGAATCTCGTTTTTCTGTAGCCACGTAGCCGAACTTGGCAATTTACACTG